GGGGGGGGGGGCTCGCGACCGCTCCGTCCCCTTCGCGTCTCCTTCCCGAGGTTCCCCACCTGCGCCTGCGGCCCCGCGACACCTGCGAGTGCCGGGCGCCGCGAAGTCAGCTCCGGGAAAAGTTTCGGAGCTTCGCCGCGGGCCGTGCGGCGGGAGGGATCCACTGCGCTCTGCACCGCAGCCCCCGCAGCACCCGCAGCCCTCTCCCCGCCGGCACCGCCCGGCCCCGGCTCGGCCGCGAGGTGACAGCGGTGCAGCGGTCGCTCGCGGCTTTTCCGTCCCCGCAGCCAGGCGGACGGGAAGGCGATTTTTCTTTTCCGATATCCCAATTTAATGGAGCGGGGAAAGCGCCGCGTCCCCGCCCCCGGCGCGCCGCGACTCGCGTGTTTGGGAGCCGCCGAGCGCTGCCCCGCGCCGCTCCCAGTCCCGTTCCTCGAGGTCTCACCGTGCCCGGCGTCGCCTCAATCCGGGGCGGTCTCCGTACGCAGACCCGCGTGAGCCCCCGATCCCCCCCACCCTCGGCGCTGCCCAGGCCGAGACCCCGCTCTCCCCGGTCCCTCTATGAACGCGGGGCGGTCCCGAAGCGCCGCGCGGAACCGCTCCGGGTGCGCCTCCCGCGGGGCCGCCGCTATAACCGCGCTTTTCTCCGCTCACAGGCGGCGGCGGCCGCGGGGCCGGGGCCATGCCCCCGGCGCGGCGCTGAGTCCCCGAACCGCCGCCGCCCCCCATGACCCTGCGCTCCGCCGAGTCCCTGCGGAGCGCGGGGAGCGCCGGGCCGCGCTGGGGGAGCCCCGGGGAGGCGGAGGCGGCCGCGCCCGCCGCAGAGGAGTGCCGGGAGGCGGCTCAGCTGGTGGCGGCCATGGAGGAGCTGCGGCGCGCAGGTAAGCGGGGCGGCTAGGGGAGCACGGAGGTGCCGCCGGGAGCGGCGGGCGGGCGCGGGGCGCTGCGCGGCGGCGGCCCCGCGGAGGCGGCTCCGAGCGCCAGAAGCGAAAGCGGCGGCAGCGCCGCGCCCCGGCGGGAGCCCGGATCGCCGGGCGGTCCGGCGACGGGGAGCGGACAGCGGCGGCATCCCCGGAGCCGTGCCCGCCGCCCCAAGGGGTGCGCGGTGCGGGACGGGAGCGCCCCTGCGATCCGCCCTCTCGCTCCCCTCTCCCCAGGAGGAGCCGCTCGGGCATCGCGGCCACGCGATGCGGGGCCGTTCCCGCGTGTCGCCGAACGGAGCGACTCCACGGGACGCGGGTGGGGGGTCCGGGGGTCGTGCACGCACTGTCTGGCAACAGCCGCCGGCCCGAGGGGCGCGATAAAAGGAAACGCGTCGTAAGGCAAATTATTTTCTATGGCAAATAAAACTTTACGATGCCTGCAGGACTCCAGCTTGCGAGCAGCGCAAGAAGTGGGTTAGTGCAGATCTGTCGGGCAAGGAGCAGGCTGTTAAACAGACAGCCAGCAGCAAATCGATCTGTGCTTTCTCCCCTCCTTTACCAGGGTGGTACTGGGGCAACATGAGCGTTGCCGAAGCCAAGGAGAGGTTGCAGGATGCCCCCGAAGGGACTTTTTTGGTTAGGGACAGTTCGCATTCCGAGTATCTGCTGACCATCTCGGTCAAAACCTCGGCGGGACCGACCAACCTGCGCATCGAGTACCAGGACGGCAAGTTCAGGCTGGACTCCATCACCTGCGTCAGATCGAGGCTCAAGCAGTTCAACAGCGTCGTGCACTTGATCGAGTACTACGTTCTGATGTGCAAGGACAGAACCGAAACGCCTTCGAATGGGACGGTCCACCTCTACTTGAACAAACCCCTGTACACGTCAGCCCCGTCTCTGCAACACCGCTGCAGAATAACTATAAACAAATGTACGAACCAGATCTGGGAGCTGCCGTTGCCAACAAGGCTAAAAGAGTACTTGAAAGAGTACCGGTACCAGGTATAAATGTCTTTTCTAAATGCCTCTAATGTAGAGTAACTTTTAAATGCAATTCTTAAAATCAGCCAAAGAACTGAGTAACCAGTTGTACAACTCAGCGTGGAATTCACTATCAAAACAGTGGCAGTTCTGGGGAAAAGGTTTTTATTTCAGATGCCACAAAGGGAGACTTTATGTAGAATTATCCCCGCTTGCATCCATGGGGTTGGACAAGGTGACACGCTGTCCCTGCAGGGGGAGCAGAGCCAGGAGGCTGTCTGCATGGCATTGCTTTGTCAGTGGGTAAAGTAGTACCGTGTAAGGACAAAACGCTGACTGAGCAGGATGGGGAGAGGCTGCGGAGTGTCAGAGATGTGCAGGAGTGCATGAGGAGCTCAGCTGTCTAATTCTGAGATTCATGTGGTGCCGGTGTTCGTACAATCCTGAAAGTTTAATTGGATCACACTGTGATAATCTTGCCAAAGTTATGCAACTAATCAAATCCAGTCAAAAGAGTGATCATCTATTCAGTTTTTATTGAACTCTGATTTTTGTGCTTTTCTGCAAGGAAAGGTGTACTGTAAGCAGTTTCAAACCTTGTTTTTCAAAGTTCTCTAAAAGTTGATGTTAAGGAACAAATGCCACATCTTTCAGAGGAACCCAGTATGTTGCTGATTATACCAGATTGGTATCCCAGAGTCTTTGTTAACATGTTAACATCTTCCCGGTGGTGAATATATCCATGTTGTTACTATTAAGCCTCTTTTGGTTGAGGCTTTAGGACTCCACGCTGCAGAGCTGCAGCCGCTCAGTTCCAATGTCAGAACATGGATATCAGCAGATACAGCTGTCTTCTACAGTGTAGAATGTTTTCTTCAGCTTGTTTCCCAAAATATGGGGATATTTGGGGATTTTTTTTTTTTTTTTGAGGGGAATGGTTTTTGTGGTTTTGTTTTGTTTTGTTTTTCTTCTAATTCACGAATGTAGCTCTCAGACTATTACTCAATAAAATCAATCAGATTGCACATCTATCTTCATCTCTGTATGTATGGATCTGCTACTCTTCAGGAAGGAGTGACACTAAGAACCCCTAGCATTTCCCATCTAATACCTACATAAGTGGACATGTATCAGTGATGATGAGTACCCTCGCTTTGCCTCTGTGGTGCTGCTCACAGGTACAGCTGCCTGGTGTTCAGATTACTGCCTTATAAGCTGCCTGCTGAATTCCTATAGTTAATTAAGTTGAATATTAGCATAGGACTTTGATTTGTGTATTACGGCAGTCCTACGAATGGGAAGATGGGGCTAAGACCCTCAGTATCCTTTCCTCTCTCTAAAGCATTTAACAGAAGAAACATTCCAATTTGGGAGTAATATGGGATCAGTGAAGAGCGAAACTAGAGCATAGATTCATTCTCATTAACAGTTTCACATTTTTAACTCTTTTCCTAGCTTAACTTAATTAAAGCAAAAAGACTTGTGTTTGAACAAGGAGAGTTGTCAAGACTTGCTGCAGTCTAGCCCTGCCCAGGCTGAAACAGAAACAACAGAAAACAACTTTGTTTTCCCTGTGCCTTAGCTGCTCTGCAGCGCTACTGAGCATAACTGAGTAAATAAGGGGGAACTGACCAGCTCATGGCATTGCACCCAGACTTCTCATGCCAGGCACTGTGATTCCAACAAGCACATGGGCATGGGAGACCAACAAAGCTGAGGGGATGTTCCCTGAGCACCACGAGTGCTCAGTGTGCCGTTGTTTCCTCTGTGGAAAGGTGACTTCTCTCCTTCACTCAGCTTGCATTCTCTGCCCGAATTTCATGTAGAGATGGGCTGGGGGCAGTCTTCTCCTGGAAAACAAAACAAAAGATTTTGTTACGTAATTTTTTTCCCCATGCCCTGCCAAGATGCAGCAGTGCTGGAAGGTTTCCACCCTCTGCGTCCCACCCCAGCAGAACTGTGGCACCGCAGGGACGTATCACCGCGACATGCCTGCCCTGTCCTTGTCACCTGGCTGACTGGCACCTGTCATCTCAGCACGAGGAGCAACTGCTGTGGTCAGCAGAAACACTTTTCGTTCCAGTAAATGTGCATTTTTTATAGCTCTTGCCTAACCCTAACCCAGAGTTGAGGTGGCTGCTGTGTGGAACAAGCAGCGCCTGTCAGGGTGAGGAGATGCCCTGGCCCACTGCCGTGCTCACTGCCGTGCTCACTGCCCGTTCATGGGCACACACCGCCAAGATGGCGCCCGCCACTGCACTGTGGGACTCGGTGTGAGCACGGTGCATTCAGCACCCTTACAACACCCTTACAACGGGTTCCCTCCGGACAGCCCCTGGCTTAGTGATCTGAAACAGAGAGCAGCTGAGAGAGGCTAGTGAGGTATGGGGAACAGTGGGGGGCAGCTGGAAGGGCCCGGTGCCCGCTGCCAGCCATGGAAGCTTGCCAGGCCCTGCCCTGTCCTGCCCAGCGATGCCAGGCTGAGGCATGAGAGGGCAGAGGCTGTGCAGCCCTCGGGTGTTCGGCACCGCTCCACGAGGCACACGGGCTGAGGGCGAGGGGTGAAGAGGGGGAAAGGTGGCGACGGTCGTAACTAAGCGGCAGAGGTCCCCGTGCTGCACAGTCACATTGCAAAACGCGCAGCACCCCGACAGGTACTTCCTCTCCTCGGTGTTGGATGCTGAGAGGAGGGAGCAGGGTCTGCAGCAGCGCTGTGCTGGAAGCAATGAACAATATTTTGAACAGACTGGAGGGGGAACTAGACCTCTTTGTATGAGAGCAGAGCTCTTGTCCTCATTAGGATGCCAGCCCTAGGGCTGATGCACTCACACAGCTAAACTTTGCTTGGCTTGCTGCAAGCTCTTCTCCATCCTAGTGCAGCACAGGGGAAGGACTTGCTCTGGAATACAAAAATGCAAAGATAGCACATCAGATTCAGATCACAGTGGTGAAAATATCTTGCATGAAGACTCCTTGATTTTTCAGGCACGATCATTTGCCCAAACATTTTAAAGAAAGACCCATTGCTTCTTAAATTTAGTATTACTTTAACTGCTGGCCCTTCAGATCCCCAAAATGACTTCTAACTGACAAATGTCAACCTGAACTGCAACCACGGAGTGTTTGGTGAAGGCAGTCTCACAGATTTAACGCCTCTGAGTCGACCAAAAATCATCATCAGGACTTTAATCACAAGTTTCTTTTCCTCTCATTTTTCATTTTTCAGTCTTGAGGCTCCAGATTTTTCAGCCTGCACCTGAATGTTAGTCTCTGAAAATGCCTTTGCTTTGATAAATGAAAGGTGAGAAACCCACGACTGTAAAAGTAAATTGTAAAACCTAATTTTTATTTTTATTTTTTTGTGAGATGGATGGTGAAAGCAGAATTGTGCAGGGATATAGCTGAGCGCTAACGCCAACACAAATGTGAGATACGGCTCCATTTCAGCTGTTCGGGCATTCCTCTGCCACCAGCGTTGGAACCAGAGACAGAAAATGGTTCAGTACAGGATGGGTGGGCAGAGTGGGAGTATAACCAAACAGCTGCATTCATTGCATTCTCATTAATTTTATTTCCCTCTGATCTCATCAACATCGTCCTAATTGCAATTTATGTAACCACGTTCTAGATGTACAATATGTAATTATTGGTGAGCAGGAGAACAGTGCACTGGAATATGAGGCGGGAGTTGTTTATTTTTAATCTCAGAACAATCTGCGACTTGCACCTCGCTATAAGCTGTGGAGTTTTGAAATCTAAAACCTTCACTGAATTTCACCCCCTTAAGAAAAAAAAAATCTAATTACAATAGGAAAGACAGTGCTGTGTAGCTGCATGAATTTGTATATGTTGGTATATGTTACCTCTTGTGTCTTAGAAAAGTGTTTCTCTGGAGAAATGATCTTGTTGCAGAGTGTAGAAAAGCTTTATTTACTCACATATTATATTCTATTCAAGAGTTTTTCCTTGTATTCCTGGTACAATTCCTATGGATTTTTGCTTGTCGGGCAGTGTATTGCTTTGTTCTTCACCCAAAGCACACGATGGGTATGGGTGGAGACGTGGGTGTTGTGTCTGACAGCCATTTGAAATAAAGTAAAACAAAACCTCAGCCGACTTTGCTATTGCTGAAATAAATCTGTGTGTCGTACTGACTGCTGGAGGAAATAACGGGTCGAGGGGCTCTGAAACTTGTATTACTGGTTCTCAGGGATTGTAAGGAACTTCTCTGTCAGAGGGGCAATTAAACAACTACAGAAATACGGGAAACTTGTAGCAGATAAAAAAAATGAAATTTCCAAATAAAATAACTAGGACGTTACTTAAAAGATGCAGCTAGTCAGGGCTGCGCACAGAAGCGTGGGGGATGACAAGCTCACTCAGCACAGCCCCTGGAAACTGCTTCCTCAGTGCTAACTTCAATACGACTGAGAATGCCTGGAAACAGCATTGCACCGACACATCCCTTCAGATCACCCAGACCTGAGCTCACTTCACAACGCCATGGCGATTTGCCACGGTATTGCTCAAATGGGCTAATTTCCACAAAGGGTGAAGATCAGCCAAAGGAGTGAGAAGGCGGCGTCACTGTTAGCGGGGCTGGAAAGGTCATCGGTGCCAAACACCCTCAAGACAGAGGGCAGCTGCATTCTCGGTAAGGCACAGCACGCGGGGAGCCGGTGAGAGCTGCTCCGCTCATTGCACAGGGAATGACCCGCCTGGTGTCCGAGGAGGGCTGGCTTCACTGTGGCAGGGACAGCAGGGAAGGACACGGCACGGCCGGCACAGCTGCAGGGCTATGGGAAAGGTGCATCAGGGGAGCCTCAAAGTCAAGGGAGGGGGGGACAAATATCTGCACACAACTGTGAACTGCACACCAAGTCTGTCAGAAAACTGAACTTCGGGAAAAAAAATCAGCTTACAGCAAAACCAGTCAGTCCTGGTCCCAGGGTTGCCAAGGGGATGAGGGATTAAACGTGTTCATTCATCAGATGTCTATAAGGGTTGGAAGTAGCCAGTTCTTCTGAGAAAGTCTATGGGAATGTAAAAACATAGCACCGCAATTATGGTGCTTAATCTCCTTGATAAACTGGATTTTATTCTACTTAAATCCCACTGAAAGAAGGACTGCACCTGTTTTGTTTTTTTTATAGTTACTCTTTTTGGTTTTTTTGTTGTTGTTTTCCTCAGAGTTGGAGCTGCTAAAACTATCCAGGGACTGAAACATCAAAATGATATCATTATTTTTTATGGCACAAAGGAGGAAAAAAAGTGCAGGAGCAAAACCTCCTTAAACTAGCATAAGAACTAAGCTGGGTTTTACCAGGAAGGAGTTCAAATGGACAGGACTGGGGACAAGTTCCGTGCTGTGTGCTGTACAGAACAAAATACATGAAAAAACCCCCCAATTAAATGTGCCTGTCTTAATTTCTCTTTCATTGGCAGGCAGGGTTTATGTAAGTGAATCCTTTTGTTTTCAGACAAATTGTTACATAATTGATGTTTCATAGCTGAAGACTGTAATTCGGTGCTCTGTCAGCTAACAAATGGTAAAGGCAGAGAAACGGTAAATGTGGGAAAGATTTAAAGCCCTGAGCAAATTCTTCTTTCTACTTTCCTGGAGTTATTATTTATCAGACTTTAGATCGGGCTCAATAACAAGAAATAAACTAGAAACAGCTGTGGGATGGACATTTCAAAGCTCTAACCTCACTTTTCAAAATGCTTTGTTAAAATTTAATTGTGCCTCTTTAGGCTGCGGTCCCAAAACAGGATTCGTTCAGCTCAGCCTCTGTCCCCACACCCAGCCTGTCTCAGTGGGAATGCCCCAACCGGAGGGCTTCCTCCGGACACCTCTGTCACTCGTCTGCCAGTTACTTCTCTCTTACCTACTGTGCTGCTCACTGACACAAGGCAGAGGAAGCTGTGGCTCAGCTGTGGCTGTTCGTGGAACTTTTTGCTGCCACATTTTCTTTTCAGAAAAGCAATATTAAATGTAACCGAGCCCTTACTAGCTGCAGTTTCC